CGTCGGAGCCACCTGATGTATGGAAGGGCCAGCCACAGTTACGCTGCAGGCGGCCCCTGGAGGACCCTGAATTCAGCGCCACATTATGGGATTGGTGTGGCGGCCGTGGGGATGAGGCTGACCAGATACACCGCCTTTTCTCGTTGCAGTGTCAGGTCGACGGCAGAAAAAAACCTAGGTGGTACTCCAGCCTTGATGCGAAGTTTGGTACATTTCTTTTCACAGTCACCGAATATCCGACGACTCACACAACGGCAATGTCTGACGACGAGGCACCCACTCTTGTACCGGCGGAGGGCCAGGAAAGGGCAAGCAAGCCCCTTGGTATGCGAAAAAATGGTATGCTATGCTTCTCTGCAATCACATGTGAGGCGGAACGGCTTTGGACTCTGACACCCGCACGTTCAGGCAAGCAGTGGCATGAACAGAAAAAGGCCTTTCGCCCAAGCAAGGGCTTGACCACATTCGAGAAACGAGCGAAAGAAAGAGCCGCTATGGCTCAAATGAAGGCAAAAGAGAAGGAGATGAAGGAGGAGAAGGAGGCAATGAGAAAGGTACGCGCACAGCGCAGATAACCGGGTGGCGTCTGCAATCCGCGTGTAGTCAGCCGGTCAGTCAGTCAGTCCCATGGGGCAGTCGGCTAACTACCACAATTCATTTACAGGAGAAGATGGAAAAAATCCGAGAGAAACGTGCCAAGAAGGAGGAAAAGGAGCGATACGAGAAGATGGCGGAGACGATGCACCGCAAGCGCGTGGAGCGATTGAAGAGAAAAGAGAAGCGCAACAAGCTTATCAATTCATGAGACCATTAAAGGATGATTGGCATGGGAAACTCGGCGCGAACTACAACACACTGACTGACATCTTGCGGGCAACGGGCAAATATACGAACGAAATCACATGGATACCTTGGCTGCCGAGCAATCTGATGTGGCTAGGAGGTGGTTATGCATCGCGCTACCGTTTCGAATATAGGCGCTTTGCAGTAGTACTATAAGGTGTGGCCCACGTCGCCGTGGCTGAAAAACAGCACGGCTGAACACGAAACGAAACGAGGCTGTTTGCAGTACACACAGGTTACTTTAGAGTTTGCAAACACTTGTACGTAGAAGTATGTACATGCGTATTGTGTGGAAACAGTTAGGCATGGGCGCCTGCCTAGCCCCTCGGGCGTTGAGGTGTATGTATGAGCAAATACTTCTAGTATTGACAAAAGATCAAGGACTGAGCAACATCTTGAATTCTCCGGTAGTAATGACTGTTTGTATTTGTTTCAGGCATGGAAATTTTTTATTCAAACTAGCCGGCGCCAGGTGATGGATTTCCATGGCCAATCCGTAACGTTTCTTTGCTGGTGCTTGCGGGCATGTGAAGCGGGTTCGGTCACGATTGACCGGCAGGCCCCACCGGACCTCTTTTCTCGGAGCTGCTGGCCACGTCGGGTGGGCTCGCTCTTCTGACCAGCGAGAACAAGCAACACTCCGTCCCTTTGCCTCTCTTTGGCCCGCTTGCCTCACCCACAGACGGGTACTCGGCACGGAACATGGCACAACAAGACCGGGCGATCTAACATGCTCAAGACGGAATATGATGTCTACACCTGACGATGGCTTGGATGGTCCAAAGCGGTCATGGCCCTCACAACCTAGTGGGCGCCGTCAGATCAAGCGGTCACTGACAGAGCTCGCGTCGCCCGGGAAGCTTCATCGTCGCCCACATCTGTACCGTCAACAAGGGAGCCAATCCGAGGAAAAAGATAAGCCCCCACTGTCGCCGGCTATTCTTGCGGCGCAAGGTCGGCATTCTCTTGATATACCACCCTCGACGACGACAACGACCCCGTTTATGAGTCCGAACCCGAGTCGACGTGCCAGCATATTGGGGCCGAGGGGGGAAAGGAATGGGGAATCCAGGGAGAAGCGGGAGAAGATGGGAATCAAGACGCAGCTGGCACAGGAGAAGGCCTCGATACGAACTGAGTGAGTGCATGCCGGGCCAGTGATGCTCGCGGGGTCGATGAAAAATGCTAATAGTATCCAGAGGGTTGAAGCAGTCGCTGATGGACCTCAACTCTTTCTCGACCACCATGACAAAGCGCCTAGACGATACATACTACTCGGTCCTGGAGAAAATGAGCACCCTTCAAAACACGGTATTTGCTCTGAAAGATTTGGCCGGAAACTCCCACGACCTGTGCGAATCGTTCGACAAGGACGCGAGAGATTTGGAAAGCGATATTATTCGTCAACTAAGTGCTGCTGGCCAGTTTGAAGAGCAGCAACGGCGAATCTCGTCGCTCCAGAAACGCATACACAGGGGCCGTGACCAGATACAAACCCTCGCCTCCAGGGTTGACGTGGTCCAGACGAGGGTTGAGAGGTGGGAACAAGCCGACAGGCGATGGCAGGAAAAGACGCGCAAGAAACTCAAGATTATATGGTCCGCTACTACAGTTCTGGCTCTGGTCATGGTTGCCTTCATAGTCGGCATGAAGTACGCGAATGTGGAGGGGCAAGGTGGAATGCGGTGGAATGCGAGCATGAGCCCAAACGTACCTCCATGGTTGACTACGTTGAGTTCTCACCAGAGCGAGAGCACAGAAGAGTCTGGGAGGAGGTTGCTTTGGAAAGCGCCGCTCGGGGATGACGCGAGGTTGCGAGCGTTTGATGAATTGTGAGTGATTTGGCAGTACATTTTGCTCGGGTCGTTTACGCTTCACGTGGTATTTCTTGAAGCATCCAACGATTCCAACGATACCCTTGGCCATTTATTTAGAGTTTTCCTGTTTTGGTGTCCTTTTCGGGATGCATCACAATCTTTGCGAGGGCAGCAGATGTGTGATTGGGGGCATCGGTGACGTCAGCTAGCTTTTTGGCCCAAATGCTGACCAACTTGAAGCCCATTTGTGATGCATCTCCTCCATTTGTGTGCTGACGACGCTGTATGTATATCAACCTGGACGATGATGTAGAGCACGCGACTACTGCCCTCTATGTATTTCTAGGTAGAGAGGACTGCATACTTATCCATCACGGCAACTGCCTACCTACTTAGGTACCTAGGTATGTAGATACGTAGCTCAAATGGCACGAGGCTCGGCATCAACGACAAGCTTCACAAAACGGTGCATTTGTGGTTCATGGTGCTCAGCCACAATTGTGCTTGCAGCGTGACGTTCTGAGCCTCGCCGACTTGCATGATTTGCTGCAGGTGTACTCCGTAGGGTGATGAATTGGTCTCGGTTGCGTTAACACTCATCCGCTGGATGGCGGCACGACGGCAATGATTGGTATTCTGCTCGTTGGCGGTCTGAATGTCCGCGTCAACAGCGGCTGCCGTGTGGGCGGCAATCTGGAGCCTCAAACGGCGAGAGCGGGCTTGGCGGCGGTTCCTGACGTGGCGCCACGGACCAGACTGTTGTTGGAACGCATATCAATTGATCTGACAACACTGAAGTATGTATGTACTAGTATATTAGTAGCATCACAGGGCATTGCACTGCCCGTGCCAAGCGGGTAGGGGGGTGAAAATCGGCCTTGTGCATTGAGACGGGCTGCCTTGTCCTCGAGTCACGTAACAGTTTGACATAACATTGAAAGCAGTTGGCCACGGAGTGCGTGTTCCGACTGGAGCGACGACTGGCCCGCTTCCGAATGGTGCATGGACGACGCTCAGTCCTGGTTACGGAAAACTTCCGTGAGGTTGGGGACTTTTTCCCTCTTCTTCCTTTTTTCCTTTCTTTGTTGTCAAGTAGCGTCATGAATGTGACATGCAGGTATGGGGTACGTAGTTCGTGTCTGCGGTAGGGCTGGAGGGGTTTTGCGACAACATCTGGCAACTCGGTAATGCTCCGTCCATTGACTTCCAGTGCTCCGTACCGCGCCACACGGCTGACTGTGTGTGTCATGTGGGTTTAAGATTGAGCGTCAACATTGAATCTTCCTCGGTGATTCGACAGGCACACACGTCATGCCCTGCCGTGCCCTGCCGTGCCCTGTCGTGCCCTGTCGTGCCCCGCCATGGGGGCTTGCGAATACAGATCCCGGGCGGCGTGCAGTCTGGTGCATGTAATCTTCAGTCGCGTCGAAATTAATCAAATTGACCAGACAGCACCGTGCATTGACGCCCCAGAGTGCAAACCCTCGTTGGGCTTGAGACATGGAAGGATATGGAACAGCTCGAGGCGCCGACGCCCGATGCCATGGCGGTGACAGCACTGAGCAAGAAGAATTGGCGCCTGCGAAAATGAAACCACGGTTGGCCGATTGTTCCAACGTTTTTTGTGCATACATGTAGTCACTCGGTAGACAATGAATGAATGGCCTTGCAACCGAACAACGCGCATCCTGGCCTTTAACCCATTCACCCATTAACCGCCGAGAGGAGGTGGAGGCTGTAACATTGACACCGGTCAGCCAAGGCACCAAAGGGCTCGGCGAGCAACCTGGGTCACTTTTTGAGCCATTCAAACAGTCAAACGCTCAACCGGAGGGTGTCAGTCTCCATTCTCGAGTCTTTTATGCCGCGACGCGTTTCCGTACCGCCGCAGATGGATGGTAATAAGAAGGCCTTGTCCCCTGCGGCGACGAGAATGCGCGAGCCCCGTCACATTGTCCTTGCCTTTGCCGTCTTCTTCATTGTTTAGCTGACCGTGTCTGCGCAGAGCCCGGTGGTTTCCAAGTGCTGTCCAGGGCTCCATTGATGTCTGGTCGAGTCAAGGGTCTACATGTAGCTGCGCCCCTCTCTCTACTTCTATTGACGTAACCCGCTGACGTCTGACGGCGACCCAGCAGAGCTGTAACCCCGCCATAACTTCCAGTCTACATTCACCCTGAGCATCTTCCCGAGCCGCCCAGCTCTCCCGGTTGAATAGATTCGACCGCATCTCCTAAGGCTTCCCCTCGTTCACCGGAAAGCTGGCGTCCCGGGGAAGAAGGTGCACCAGCTGATAGTTCGAACCTCTGCCTCGACTGGTACTACTACGCACGCCTTGTCGCCATGGCTCAAGATAGCGACGTCACCCCGTCGGCCGAAGCTGCAGCATCTGCTGCCACCACCACCACCGACGCTGTCGAAACAAAAGAACTTCCCATCCGACAGACCAGCTTTGGAACGGCTGCTCCTGGACAGACCCTGACGGGGAAGCAAGAACATTGTGCGTTGTGCCTCCCGCGAGCATAGATATGCCGTATGCCATATATGCCATAGGCATACCGCCGGGCGACTGTCATGTGATGCTAACCTTTCAATTTTCCCAACAGACCTCAAGCGCGAGCTTATTTCCAAGCAGGCGAAATGGGAAATCGACGAGCTCAACTCTCCCACCGCTCTTCAGCGATTCGGCGCGCCGTTTCGTTCTGAGCGTGGTGAGGTCCCACCTGAGGAGTCGGAACTCCCCATTCTTCGTTTCGTTTTCGTCCACCATGTTCGAGATTTTCCTTTCCTCGACAAGGCCAAGGAAAAGGAGTTTTGGCAAGACAAACTCCAAGTTGTATGTCTTCACCGTTCTGTTACGGGTCCCTCCCCCCCCTTCTCTTCTTCCCCGCAAACATCACTTCTAATAAAAGTGGCACAAACCGTGTAGTTCTTGGAGTCATTTGCAGTTAAGCGCGTCTCATCATCCGAAGACCGGCTTGAGGAAACCAAGCGGAGAAAGCTTGCCATCAAGGCCCAGAAGCTCATCGAGCTGATGATGGTTTCTGGCATACCAACATCCTCTGGCTTCGAAGAGCGCATTCGCTTCTCAGAGATTGAGATTGTGGACAGCAACGCTATTGAGACTGGAGTAATGCATAGTATACCCGAGGGCAACTACATCAATGGGTGGGATGTCAATGTCGCTGGTGTGCGCGTCATGACTGTCAAGGGGAGGATCCGGCAGCACAAACACGCCGAGTTCTTGCTTCGTATTAAGCAAAAGGGCGAGCTGGAGCACTTTGTCGGACGGAGGTATGGAGACTTTAGCAGACTTCACAAGCGAATAAAGACGGAGTTGCCTGGCCGGATTCTGCCCCCTCTACCCAAGAAGAATAAGTCTAGCACGACGGCATCTGGGCTGTGGACCGGATGGAGCAATGCCGATGATTCGGATGCGTCGTCTGTATCGTCCGTTTCCACGCGAATCACAGATGCCCCCGTGCCGCAGTCTGGCGGTATCTCGTCGCTGTTGTCGCCCACAGCACCCAGTAGGATATACGACTTGCGATTGCTTGACATTGCCGAAGCTGACACGCACCCAATTAGGTCAACGAAAACCTGGTTCCGCTCGATCCATTCGCTCCGCAAGAGAGTCTCCTCGACCTTCGGTTGATGGGAAGCAGAGTCCTGAGAAGCAGGATGCCGATGATGTGCGTATGCGACTTACACCATGCCCCGAGGTCTTGATTGAAACTGACAAATGCATCGCAGAGCGTCGTATTGTGGAGAGAATCCTCGCGCGTTTCTCTTCGTGCCTTTTTGAGGTCTCTGTTGCACAACCCTCAGGTTGCCAACACCAAAGCCATGCAAGAGTTCCTGAGCGGTGACCCCATCACCCCCACCGACGATGATGTAGAGGACATTATGAGGCGCAAGGCTATCGACGAGAAGAGAATCGAGGAACAGAAACAGTTTTATGAGATTGCGAGGAAGAGAGCCGCGGAACTTGACGAATACATGGAGCAGTAAGTCTAAGCCTTTAGCCTACTTTCATCACCAACGTCTTGGTGCTAAGCAGGACACAGCTTTCGGCGGGATATTGTCGAGCGAAACGGTCTTACAATGCTTTTCAAGGAAATAAAGGAAAAAGAGACGATTCAAGACCTCAGTCTCCAGTATCAAAAATTTGCAGAGTGGTTGAGGATTGAAGTTGCAGCTGTGATTTATCACCTCTTCCTTGCGGAGGATAATTCGCCCGAGATTTTTGCCCAAGCGAAGCGCATTCACTCTCTGATCCCCTACTCGGTCCTCAAAAATGTCATTCGCATTGCCAACCCAGCGGCAGTCATGTCGGGTGTGCTGGACATCTTCCTTGCCCAACCGTTCGGTACCAGATCACTAATGCAAAGAATTTTCTCTCTCACTCTCAATGACGGGATCAAGAGCTTCCAAAAGTCGATTGACGCTCTGACAAACAAGATCGCGGACCCCGTCTTTACTGACAAGCTAAAGAGATACACAGACGCCGAGGAAGATCTGAAAGCCGCTATCCGCTTGGAGGCTGAAGAGGAGCAGATTGACCTTATTGTTGCCATTATGCGATCCGATCTCATCGAGCCCGAATTGACTGGTGAACAAATTCAGCGTCTGTTTAATGCATACGTTGCGTTCAACAATGCCGTCGAGAACGTTGACGAGGAATTGAAGCAAGGTGCGCAACTGTTCTCGTATCTGAAGCAGCTTCTTAAGCTCTGCACACGACAGCGAGACAAGGCTATGATGCTTCGACTAATTGAGGAGCCGGTGACACTGCAACTATTCCGAGATCTGTTTACAATCTTTTACGAGCCTCTTGTTAGAGTATACAAGTCCGCCAATGTCTATAATAGTGTCACAGACTTTGCGGTCTTTATAGATGACATGATTCAGGCAAGATCAACACACGCCGTCCGTCGTTATTACAAGACTACCTTGCTAACCGTTCAACAATGATTAGGTCGTCGACAAATGCAGAGAGCAGGATGCCTCGGCAGATCCCAACCAGACGGTTCAAGCTTTTATCGATTTATGCCAGAGACACGAGCATCACTTTTACAAATTTGTCCATGAGGTCCACACACACGACAATGGCCTCTTTACGCAGCTCATGGGCTGGATCGAAGGAATCCTCGAGTTCCTCCGCCACGGACCCAAGAACGGAACGCTTAATGTTAATGCATTGTTTGAAGGCGGCGTTAGTGCAGGAATTTTAGACAAGGAAAAGGCCATTCAAGAGATCAACTCTCTCATCTCATGGCAGGAGGCGAGGAAGAAGTGGCACCACGACAAGACGCGACAGAAGATGGCCGCAGAGGGCGGGCCTCTAGGCTCTGTAGGAGCCATTGGAACTGGCTTCGATTCTACTGATTTTGGCTTAAACGGACAAGACCTGCAGGAAATGGCATATGACTTCGAGTCCGAGTCTGAAAAGGAGGCGGAGGCGGAGGAAGAGGATGAGCTGGATCCAATCTCGGCAGAGAGACGCAGAAGAGCTAAGAAACAAGATCGACTCCGCCGCAGTGCAGGGGAGCCGGCGAAGCCTGTGATCTCTGAGGTCCACAAGCTGCATGACAATTTCTTGGTCATGCTGCGGGAGGTGCTGGCAGGTTAATGTATGTGCAAGGGGCAGTACTTTGAGGACGTTTTTGCAAGTTGAGTCCTCATACATCTTTATGCATGCCGCATGGAAGCGTAGAGTCATTATGCTCTAATGTTTTAAGTTTTGCTGGCAACTTATCGTGTTAGTCAAGATACCTAGGCTATTAGTACTAGAATTCAAGTCAGAATAAAAGCATTGATTTCTAGATTAGTTTTGTCCGTGTCCAGACGGCTGTCACTCCCATGGTGATAATGCTCGTGGAAGAAGCCTGGCGTTGACTGATTACCGTCTTGTGGGGCGAGCGAATAAAATTGGAAAGTACGGAGTACCGAGAAACAAGTGAGCACGGGAGGTGGAAACAAGCCGGGACATGGAGGCTCTTCCATGTGATGCCTACGGGTCTCGGAGCTTAGAGCGAAGATTATCCGTCCGACGACGAGTTTGCGGGACGAGCGCCGACACCAACAGAACTGGAGACAGCGTGAGAGACGCAAGAAAAAAAAATTCAGGCTTAAAAGTGTAGAAGGTCGACGTCAATGGGGAGCAAAACAAATCGATTAAGTGGCCTGTCAGTCGCCATCGGCAGCCATGCAGTATGTATGTACATGCATACCGTTGGTGGCACTTTGGTGTGACGGTTTATTAGGCTATTGGACCAAAAGGCAGAGGCCAAACAGCGCCTGAAGGCTGCTAATGGCTGCGCGCTGATTGGCCAAATGAACCGAGGAACCGAGCACGCTTGTTCCGAAAGTGAGCATCCAATGCCAAGCAGCGCAAGGAAACCCATCAACCACCGTGGTTCGTGACTTTGGTCTGGATATTCTCTTTCCATCCGCCGAGCTTCAACGCCATCGCGTCTCAATTTTCTGCGCATGCAGCCTAGGTGAACGCGAATACTCTTGACCATGGCTTCTTCTATGGCTCTGAGGAAATTGGCCTCTGGCTCTGCTGTGCGTACTGCGTGCCCCCTCGTTGCGAGCTCGTGCCCAATCCAAACCGTCCCCTTCGTCCCGTTGATGGCCGGCTCTCTACTGAACGACGGACGACTGACCCCTTTTGGCCACTCAATTGTTTGCAACTAATTGCGCTCTGGAATCTATGCTGACGTGCTGTGTTGTCATTTAGTTTTCGCGATTGGCGAGAAGCCAGGCCAGGGCCTTTTCTACCACGCGACCTGCCGGTGAGTCTGACCTCGGGATGCAACGACACAACTGCGAGCATGGGCTGACTTCCGGACTACAATTGCAGCTCGAGTTATTGCCAACCATCCCCTGAGAGCCAAGGAGGCTTCTCCTCATGTCAGCACAAAGTACAACGTCATTGTACGTATTTCTACGCGGCCCCGAGCAATCCCGGCTCACCACTGCCCTCAAAAGCAATGACAGCCGAATTAACTCGTCATCGATATTCAGGACCACGAGTACGATGCCCTCGTCGTCGGCGCCGGTGGTGCTGGTCTCCGTGCCGCCTTTGGTCTCGCCGAGGCTGGCTTCAACACTGCCTGTATCTCGAAGCTGTTTCCCACTCGAAGTCACACTGTCGCCGCCCAGGGTGGCATCAACGCTGCTCTCGGCAACATGCACGAGGATGACTGGAGATGGCACATGTACGATACCGTCAAGGGCTCTGACTGGCTGGGCGACCAGGATGCTATCCATTACATGACCCGTGAGGCTCCCGCCTCCATTATCGAGCTTGAGCACTATGGTTGCCCCTTCTCCCGAACCGAGGAGGGAAAAATGTGAGCCACGACCCCCGCTTGATGTTGAGAGGGCCTACATGAAATTCTCCGAGTGTGCTGACGCTTTCTATTCTTTCATAGCTACCAGCGAGCTTTCGGTGGACAGTCCCAGAAGTACGGCAAGGGCGGCCAGGCCTACCGATGCTGCGCCGCAGCTGACCGAACCGGCCACGCTCTTCTGCATACTCTCTACGGCCAGTCCCTTGCCCACAACACCAACTACTTCATCGAGTATTTTGCTCTGGATCTGATTATGCAGGATGGCGAATGCCGCGGTGTCCTCGCCTATAACCAGGAGGATGGTACTCTGCACCGATTCCTTGCCAACAACACTGTCCTGGCTACCGGTGGTTATGGCCGTGCGTACTTTAGCTGCACGTCTGCTCATACTTGCACTGGTGACGGCATGGCCATGGTTGCCCGTGCTGGTCTCCCCAACCAGGATCTCGAGTTTGTTCAATTCCATCCTACCGGCATCTACGGTGCCGGCTGCCTGATCACTGAGGGTGCTCGTGGTGAAGGTGGTTACCTGCTCAACTCTGAGGGTGAACGTTTTATGGAGCGTTACGCGCCTACTGCTAAGGATTTGGCCTCTCGTGATGTCGTTTCTCGATCCATGACCATGGAAATTCGTGATGGCCGTGGTGTCGGTGCTGAGAAGGATCACATCTTCCTCCAGCTCAGCCACTTGCCTGCCGAAATTCTTGCTGAGCGTCTGCCCGGTATCTCCGAGACCGCTGGTATCTTCGCTGGCGTCGATGTCCGAAAGCAACCTATTCCGGTCTTACCTACTGTCCACTATAACATGGGCGGTATCCCGACCCGCTACACCGGTGAGGTGCTTACCGTCGATGAGCAGGGCAAGGACAAGGTTGTTCCCGGTCTGTTCGCCTGTGGTGAGGCTGCCTGCGTGTCTGTCCACGGTGCTAACCGTCTTGGCGCCAACTCTCTGCTGGATCTTGTCGTCTTCGGGCGTGCAGTTTCGCACACTATCCGTGACAACTTCAAGCCTGGGGAGAAGCTCAAGCCTCTTGCTGCTGATGCTGGTTCTGACCATATTGAGGTTTTGGACCAGGTTCGAACCTCTGACGGCCCCAAGAGCACTGCTGAGATCCGTCTGGCCATGCAGAAAGCTATGCAGACTGATGTCTCAGTGTTCCGAACTCAGGAGAGTTTGGACGAGGGCGTTCGTAAGATGAACGCAATTGACCCCATGTTCAAGGAAGTTGGCATCAAAGACCGCAGCATGATCTGGAACTCTGATCTCGTCGAGACTCTGGAACTGCGAAACCTCTTGACTTGCGCGTAAGTTACAACATACATACTGACATGTGTCTTATGTGACTCGGTCACTCCGAGGCTGACCTGGTTTATGTTTATAGTACCCAAACTGCTACTGCCGCCGCTGCCCGAAAGGAGTCCCGTGGTGCCCACGCTCGCGAGGATTACCCCGACCGTGACGACAAGAACTGGATGAAGCACACTCTATCCTTCCAGAAAACGCCTCACGGCAAGGTCGACCTGACATACCGTGGCGTTATTTCAACCACTCTGGATGAGAACGAGTGTAAGCCTGTACCTCCCTTTAAGCGTGTATACTAAACAAGACGTGGCATGAGTAGGGTGGGGAAGGGCGTGTCTGGGTTACGGTTACTGGGATGGCAAAAAAAAAAAAAAACTAGAAGAATGTTAACCACGGAATCGAGGCGTCTCCTTTGTTGTAAGACATGCGATATATCCGGGATTAGTTGGGAGGGAGTCTCTGTTACGGGCCGTGGAGATGGTGGCGTGCCAACATGTCGTGTGTTGGTGTAGCCGAAGGAGGCTAGATGTGTATGAAGTTCTTGGAGCGGTTAGCTATGTAGTCAAGTTGTAAGGAAAATTTTCTTTTTTTTTCTATCTGTCTTCTTTTCACTGCCAAACCGTCGTCGCACAAACAGCCCTTGCAGGTTACACATGTCATGTCTCACAGCCGTTGTTATTTCGGGACCTTTCCGAGAGCAGATGGTGTGGCTTGATGACGGGGTCTTGCTTCGTGACGAGGCTGCAAGGGGTCGAGGTAACGACTTGTATTACGTCGCGCGGGCTGGTGTACAAATAGGTTCGCCGTAGCTATATTGAGTGCTCGCATCTCGGAATATGCGGAAAGGAGGCGGGCTGGTGCCGCTAATGGCATAATGTCAGGCTATTTCCGGTTGATGATGGGGGCTGTTTGCCGACTTTAAGCGTCATGTAGGTTCTTGCGGGAGCTGGGAGGGAAGGATGTCCTTGGGTGAGTATGGAGGTGTGTTTCCGAGGACTACTACACTTGTCACGGGGGAGGGGACGATTGAGGATGCATGCTAATAGGGCGTGGGCGGATTGTATGTGCTGGACTGTCCGGCCGGTGATTGGGAATATATGACGAGGTGAAGTTGGAGAAAGTGGGAGGATGATGGGGGGTCTATGAGACGCAGGAACGAGAGCAAAAGGCTACATTTTGTTCTGTTTTGTCTAGTCTGAAAGGTATAGCTACTAGGTATGCGTAGGTATGAAGATATCCAAGAAGCATAAGAAAACGAAAACCAAGTCGAAACTCCTTGCGCTCTATGCCCATCAATCGTTGGTCACTGCTCATCCATGCAGTGTTAGTTTTCTTCGTAAAGTCGTATCAACTGTGCCTTCATATCAGTCATTCTCTTGTGATTGTACGCAGCTTGATTCTCCAGGTCCCGTATCTTCTCTTGTAGTTGAGAAATCTTCTTGTCTTTCCCTTTGAGTGCTGCGCGCGCTGAATCTCTACCCTTGGAAATACCCTTGGATTTCCGGGCTGACATCAATAGTAGCTCCTGCACAGATTGAAGAACAGCTGGGTCAATTTTCTGGCGACTCAACAGCGCCATGACATTCTCTGTCACGTCCTGAGTGCTGGCACCGTGGGGACTACTTGAGGGAGAGACAAGGCTAAAGCTCGAGTCTGAGGATAGCGTCTTGGACGGTGTCTTCAGCGTACCGGAGGACGTCGGCTCCTCAAATGACACCTCCTTGGAACGTTTTGCTTCCGACGCAGGGAACAACGTTCTGGACACAGATGGTGTGGGCAAGCCGCCAACGATGACAGTGGTACGACGATTTGTGGAAGGTGTGGCAAATACGTCGTCTGAGGAGCGGCGCGGAGTGGCCATTTGGACACTCTTGTCCGTAATCTCGGCCAATTGACGCTCCACATCCGAATCCAGGTCCGTGAACTCGTCCTCGTCCTGGTCCCAAGAATCATTCGGGTTCCTCTTCCTCTTTGAGCTAGGAGTAGCGGGACTGGCCTTTGATGCTAATGCCTGCGTTTCTCGTGTCCTATGGGTGCTTGTTGGGCTGGAATCAGCCGCTTTGGAGGTCTTATTTACGCCTCCCAAGATTCCAGATCGCCGAGATGACGGTGTAGCTTGAATCCCATAGGACTCCAGAGGCCTTTGAGTAAAGGTTGGGGTCTTGGGTCTTGCTGGTACAGCCCGGTTGTCCACGTCGACGTCGGACCCAGGGGCGAAGCTGGATTCTCGAACGACAGCATCATCTCTCCATAGAAAAAAGTTGCAAGACAGACGACGATGTGTTTCACAGGTCCAGAAAAGTCTGCCCTTGTTGGCGCATTCTTTCTTCACCTCACGCAGTACGGCTTTCTTGCGAGGATCACAGTTACCTGGTCACACGGTATGAGTTGTCAGTCCGGCGCAGCTATTGTCTCAAGTAAATCGGCCGTCGCAAGGTCATATCACCACGCTCATCATGCAAGGTTCATCAATATGTAATACCAGCATATCATTTGACGACGCATGGGTGAAGTGGTGCCCTGAACACACGGCGTTGAGGGACAAGTATCGAGGGAATAGAAGAAGCAAGCTTACACCACCACAGGCCATCCTGCCAGACACCATCGAGCCGTTTCTTCTCCGAGGAAGGCAATTCCTCCGCCTCGGAATGCGACACCGACGTAGAAGGCGTATCTTTGTAGCGTCGCCTACGCGGAGTTGCAGACGATGCCATGTCGAAAGCAAAGGCTCGGGCAGTGTAACAGTACCTCTCGAGTTGGCCCCAGTCTCAACAAATGAGCATGATTGATTGCCTCGGCGGCCGCTCGGTCCTGGAGCAAATTGCGGCACGCAGATGGCCAAGCTGCCTTGTTAGGTGATATGAAGAGCAAAGAAGCAAAGGGCACTAAGGTTATCGGAGGTGTGACTGGGAGCTCGGAGTGAGAACTAAGTCGACGTTGGAGGTTGGAAGTTGCAAGTCGGCCTAGCGAAGCGGGGGGGAGTGGAGAAATCGGACCAAAGAATGGTGGTGGCTGAGGTGCCGCTCCGATCAACTGATCAACTGATGTGATATCCCGTTCATTTGATCAAAGATGACCATAGATATTACTCAGACTAGACGCTTCCAATACTGGTGTGAACTTGAGCAGGCACAGACTTGGGCGGCGTGCTGTGTGCATGGAGATATAAAACATTACACTTACACCCTGTCGACGTACCCGTCTCAATCCGCCGGCGCTTGGCCCAAGAGGAGCGAAAGCCATGTTCATCTTTTTGCATTGTGTTGCGTAATTTAGGCACGGACCACGCGAGTAACTTAATCTCGAGTCTTGGGCCTCAAGACCTGAGTCTCGAAGCGCCTCGCGGCTGTGAATGGCCATACTATGTATTTTAATAAGTTGCAACAGATCAGACTTCAGACTCAATGGGGCAGGCGCGACTTGGCGATGCGGGTCCGGTTTCCTGTTTGGCCAGTCAGCCTCAACCACCAACGGCCAGATCAACTTCCATCATTATCTCTTCACTCCATGTTGTTAGGCTCTTGATTTCTTCTCAGCGCGGACAGTGACCGCCGCTCTCGACCACACGTTGCCTCCCCGCCGCCACTCCCGATACGCAAGTTGGTGAACTTGGCCCTTTACTTGTTGTTAATTTGCCCACTAACAGAACCAACCTGAGCAAGTTGCCAAGGCCGCCATGGGATGACTACTCTGAACGCAGAGTCACAATAATCAAGGCAATGACCTCCTAGGCCTCTTAACATCCGTTGATCAGCCCCTCCATCTTCCCAAACTAGGCAATTACAAGAATCGACATACATGTGCCAAGATGACTGGCCTGACCTGGACGGATCGCGTCATTGCGCCTCCGCGGATATTGCTGTTGCCTAAGCTCTTCTCACCTGCTTGGTTTTTCATGTACAGAACAGCTTTAGCTTTTCGAAAAGTTTGCCACAATTCCAAGGCTAACGGCAATAACTAGTCCGCCACATCTGCGTTCCCGGCAATGCCAGCGGCATGTTCGTCCCAACAGGAAGCCATGGTGACCAGGGCGGCCATACCATGGCGATAACTAACTCCGCCGATGCTAGCACCCGCGACTTTGATGTAGCCAATTCCATTGAGGCACAAGGCGGCCTGTACGGCTTGCATCTCAATATTGCTGTTGGGCTGAGCTGTATTGCCTTGGGAGACTTCGCCACCTGCCTGGTCGGTCAAGAAGTTTGCCAAACGTAACGTCTCAATTGAGCACCAGTCAAGAACGTGTCTATTCGACAAATCAAACATACCTACCTAGGTAGGTAGATAGATACGCCCATACACGGGGACTGCACGACACAATTGTTGGGATACTTCCATGTTGGTGTGTACGCAATCAACTTGGCGCGAGAAGACTACTTGGATTTCCGTACCTGGTCCCCGCTTCGCTCATCGCTGCGTTTTCTATTGTGGTTCTTCTTCTCCTGACGAATATGGCTGCTCAACTGCCACCGGCATGTCTTCACGTACGTACGTATGTATGCATAATAAACATGGTTGTTGGTCCAGAATTCTATTTGCAACGCGCAGGCTCACCTCTTGCCTATCTCGTCGAAATCTCAACGACTCCCTGCTTCCTAGTCTCTCCAGGAGCAGTGTGAGTGGGCATTGGCATGGCCATCATCTGCTCCGAACCCCGAGACTATGTGCACCAGGGCAGAATCCTTTCATCTCAGCTTCATCCGGAAGTCAAGGGATCCCCGCTATGATTCATCCAATGAGATATTGTTTCTCAGCACCTAGATGGTCACACCGACCCCCATGTTGCACAGGCGTTGCCTGGAGCCTTTGGCGTGAGCAAGCCGGGCCGGGCCACGGCCACGGCCACGGCCACGGTCATGGTTACGGATTCACGGATCGATGCTCGGGCAGATGGGCGGCCATTGCAACCGCAATATCCTACCCGAATAAGACAATACCTGACTATGACGCTGCAGCGGAAAGAACTCTGCCCCATATTGATATTTGTTCAAGGCAGCCGTTCAATGGCCAAGTTTCTAGGGCCCTCTCCTACAGTAGCCAGGTACCGGAAGGTTAATTGCCATTATTACCGACAACAAACAGTCTGAGCTAACTTAACCTCAGCGCCCCCACAACCAAACTATCCCACAGGTCCAAGATGCTTATTATTAGAAATATGCCACATGGGGAAGCAGGCCTTGGTAGTGGTTGAAATTGTTGCGCTAGGCTCTACATTGCAGCGTCGTGCATCGCCGACTTGGTGCCTCGGCGGTGTTGGACTGTTCCCCCACAATATCAATGAAATGAAGCGACTCGCACTATGGAAGAAATAGGAAGGCACACGGGTGCAGAACATTTGGAGGTTACATCGCACCGTCAGCACCACTCAGCACCACATGAATCAGTCATTCTTATCTTCTGAGCTCTCGGCAAAAAGCAATGCTTGTCGCGACGGGCGCCAGCACAACTGCAACCTGCAACTTCGTCACCCATCATGGTGCACATGATGCGACAATGAGTTGTCAGTGTTGAGCACTACTGGCTGAACAGGCACCTGGAGGTTGGTGATCCTGGTTGGTGATGCTGTGGATGATAAGTCGGCAACCATTCACTTCTTCATATGGTTTTCATCCTCAATTGGTCCACGCGGAGGAATTCTCTCGTCAGTGTTCTCTGAAACCTCCCCAACTACACCCTGTTTGTTGGTTTGGCAGGCTATGCTGATGATGATGGTCACCACCAAGCCCAGATTACATTCGGAACTGGCCGAGGAAAGCGCTCACAGGCAGCAACACGAAAAGGGTGTTGAATTTGCGCAAAAGATAAAAAAGGGTTGTACAACAGCCGAAACCAAGATTTTCTCTGCTTAGGAAATGACGCAAAATGAGACTAAACTGGCATGGACAACAACATCCTGTTTACTTGCGTAGCTTTCAAGTCAAGGAGGTGTTTACAGAAACCCACCCCCCTTGTTTTCTTTTCCCTCTCTCTTCCCCTTGACGGCCAGTCCCTTCAATGTACTTCTCATGCAGTGGAACACGTCCCTGATATTCGTCAAGTCTCGTGATATCCGTAGATGGCCACTATGAGGCTTCCCTAGCCTCACAAAAGCAATCAATGGAGCTTGGCATCGTTATCCCAAGGTTGCATCATCCTTCAGTCCCCGGATTCCTGACCACATACTGCTTTCCACGCTAGCATTCAACAAGAAGCTGTTATCAACGCCGTCGCCGACAGAGCCACTTCTAGTGTATTATCCTAGGCGCCAAATATTGAGCGTCGATTCCCGCAGATTCGGCCGTTCAAGGCCTTGTTCTACAGCATGTCTAGCTTCGCCGTCACAATCTTGTACGTCGGCAAAGAACAAACAGCTTCCAGTTCTGGAAGGTGATGGTTTCAGATGGAGGATTCCCTCTCAACCTAGATCGTCTACACATTGACCTAGATGGAGACAACAAGACGGCATCTTTTGAATATAAAATGACCTTTCTTCGCCGCCTTGAAGTTGGATCTGTCCTGGATTCATCCTCATCACGCAAGCTTCATTCCATCAAATCAACCTCGGTTTCTGCCCAACATCTCTGGTCTTTGGTCCCGTACTAGAATTTGCAATCATGCATCTGTCTGCTCTTCTCACTCTTCTCCCAGCCGTTCTGGCTGCCCCTGCCACTATTGGCCGGCGCGCTGAGCCAGCTCCTCTCTTCACTCCTCAGGCTGAGAGCATCATTGCCGACAAGTATATTGTCAAGTTCAAGGATGATATTGCCCGTATCGCTACCGATGATACGGTGAGCGCTCTTACCTCCAAAGCCGACTTCGTTTACGAGCACGCCTTCCATGGGTTTGCAGGCTCCCTCACCAAGGAGGAGCTGAAGATGCTTCGTGAGCACCCCGGTGTAAGTACCCCCTCCCACTTACCTAGGTAGTCAAAGGAGACATGTAGTTGTTTGTTCCTGACCCGCTGCGCCATAGGTCGATTTCATTGAGAAGGACGCTGTGATGCGTATCAGCGGCATCACTGAGCAGAGCGGTGCTCCCTGGGGTCTTGGGCGCATCTCTCACCGCAGTAAGGGAAGCACCACCTATCGCTACGATGATAGTGCTGGTCAGGGTACTTGCGTATATATCATTGACACTGGTATTGAGGCCTCCCACCCCGTAAGTTGTGCCGTCAAAACTCCATAGTGCGGAGTAGGAAATTTAACAATATCATCCAGGAGTTTGAGGGTCGCGCCACTTTTCTTAAGAGCTTCATCAGCGGTCAAAACACTGATGGCCACGGCCATGGGACTCACTGCGCTGGTACCATTGGTAGCAAGACCTACGGTGTTGCCAAAAAGGCTAAGCTCTATGGTGTCAAGGTTCTTGACAACCAGGGCAGTGGTTCCTACTCCGGTATCATCAGTGGCATGGACTACGTTGCACAGGACTCCAAGACCCGCGGCTGCCCCAACGGCGCCATTGCTTCCATGAGCCTGGGAGGTGGCTACTCGGCGTCCGTCAACCAAGGTGCTGCTGCTTTGGTCAATTCTGGTGTCTTCCTTGCCGTCGCCGCTGGCAACGATAACCGGGATGCCCAGAACACCTCTCCCGCTTCCGAGCCTTCTGCCTGCACTGTTGGTGCCTCTGCGGAAAATGACAGCCGATCTTCCTTCTCCAACTACGGCAGAGTTGTCGATATTTTCGCTCCTGGTAGCAATGTTCTTTCCACCTGGATTGGTGGCCGCACAGTAAGTATTGTACCTCGATAAGCTCGGAGACACGCTTTTGCTTCAGCACCAGCTCTAACAAGGTTTAGAACACCATCTCTGGTACCTCCATGGCTACTCCCCATATTGCCGGTCTGGCTGCCTACCTCAGTGCGCTCCAAGGCAAGACTACCCCTGCCGCTCTTTGCAAGAAGATCCAGGACACTGCTACCAAGAACGTGCTCACCGGTGTTCCCTCTGGCACTGTCAACTACCTTGCCTACAACGGTGCCTAAATTCTTAACTTGAGCAAGGGGGGGAACCCTTCAGTGAAGAGACGGCGATTGGTTGGTTGTATATTTGAGATAATTTCCAACGCTCGAATCCCCCCCAAAGGTATATATTTATATTTCTATATTTTCTTCACCCAGTACATTATGATGATGGAACATGACCTTTCCCAATATAAGATGTCTTTGCAGCAGAAGGAAATGAAGATGTTATCGGGCGTGTAGCTCAGAGTGCACAAGTTGGAGCTACTAGCTGAATAAATCTAGGAGAGTTTATGGCCGCCTTTAAGTTGTCTCTGCATTATTCCGTGAGACCCAGACGTATATGCTTGCCTTGCTCAAAAGCCTCAAAGGCAACGTTCTATGCCACACCCGCAGGGTTGAACTCGTATAGGCTTTCGTTTAATACCCTGAAGAGCTCTACCATGAGGATTTCCGAGTGTGTGTTGAAAGCACTCAGTTTCTGGAGAAAACACATTAGTCAATGTCTCTCCTGAGCTGGAAAAAAAAAAGGAAAAAAAAAAAAAAGAAACCAGGACCTGGACATACAATCTGTGGCAGAACATATTTACCCATCCAGAAGCATGCACTAATATTCTATATATATTATAGTATATATAGCCAGGTACCTCATCTGGTTAAATACTTTTTGTCTCGTACTGTACAAGGCGGCGTTGCCTTTTTATCAGCAAAGTTGGCCAAAGACGTGACCACATTCTTAATTCGAAACACTAGGCACAGCAGTATCTTTCTTGGAGAGTTTTGATGGGTGTGTATTGTGTCATGGGAGGCTATTCTTGCGCGGGTGAGCGGCACTATTGAGTCGGGCCGTTAGCACAGTTGGCCGGGTTGACGGTTGAGCACGTTGAGCATCCCTGCCAAGAAGTTGCTGCTGGTTATCACGACCCCGCAGTCTAGCAGTCTAGCAGGCTGCATGGCACATGTGGTGGTTGCGTCGAGACATATCGTCGGTGTGAAAGCTGTGTTGTAGTTGGAGTTGCGGCTGTAACCAGCCGACCTTGGTCGCATGCTGGATGGTCTCACGTCACATGCGCCTGTGCCCGGAAAGAGCCTCGGGGCGGCCGTCGAAACCAAACATTGAAGGCAGGCTGAGAACGCAGTGCTTGCGGTTTGGCTTAACCAACAACTCTCATTATGCATGTTCACGCAAGTCGCCAAGCTCGGGGTGTGTGCAGTGATCATGACCCAAATCTCAGACTTCGAGCAGCTCTTCTTGCCTGTATTCAAAAAGCAGGCTCATCTTTAGTTTTGCATTACATTCATCAGCCTGCTTGATGCCTTGGCCGCAAACTATTGACCTCAAACAACCCGTTCCTCAGTCGTGGTGTAGCCTGGGAAGTGAGCCCCACGTGATGGCGCCTGCAGCGTCCAACAACAGCCCCCTTTATTTCGCCTTTTCTTCCACCACATTCTAGCCAACACGTCCAATTGATGATAACCACGTCCTTCGTTTTGTTCCCCGACAACCTGACCTCTTCGATTCTTGCTCTCCGCTGTCTTGTCGGACCTCCCTCCTTTCCTGCAGGTCTGTAGCACGCCCCCTTTCTTCCTTGGCGAGCTCGTCCCACGTGCGGAAAATCACGACGGAACCAGGGTCTCACACACGACTGGCGTTCAACCCATCACACTGCATCTCGTACCTCTTGATTTTTTTTTTTTTTCTTCTTCTCGTCTTTCTGTGCACATCACCTGAGCCAATGGCTTCACGTGTTCCCCTCTCGTGGCGCCTGGCAAGCAGATCCGTTGCGGCTGGCCGCCGTGCCTGCTCAACAACGCCTTTATCCTGGGCTCCGCGCACAGCTTTCCGTAGTGGCAAGCGACAGCAGCGATTTTACTCTTCTGACAGTGGGCCGACTGGCAACAAGGACAAGGTCAAGTTTTGGCCTTTTATTGCCGTGATTGCCATTGGCTCAGCCGGATACGTTGGGTTGGTGAACCGTCGCAAAGGTATGGTTGATGTAACCCCCCTCGTCAACCACCTCCTAGCTCCTAACGTTCCGAACCACCATAGATATGACTCGAACAAGCGATTCCAAGACCGAGGGCCAGCTCCCCCCGCCTGCCAAATCCTCGCCCACATTCTCTCCCTCCGACGTCACGGTGCTCTTCGTCCTCGGCGGCCCCGGCGCCGGAAAGGGCACCCAGTGCGCCAACCTCGTCAAGCAGTACGGCTTCACGCATCTCTCCGCCGGCGATCTGCTCCGCGCCGAACAGGAACGCCCCGGCTCCCAGTTCGGCGACCTCATCCGCGACTACATCAAGAACGGGCTCATTGTGCCCATGGAGGTCACCATCCAGCTTCTCGAGAACGCCATGACCGAGGCGCTCCAGAGCAACGGCAACGCCACAAAGGGCCGCTTCCTAATCGACGGCTTCCCGCGCAAGCTTGACCAGGCGCACAAGTTTGAAGAGTCCGTGTGCCCCGCCAGAATGGTCCTCTTCTTCGACTGTCCCGAAAAAGTCATGGAGGAGCGTCTCCTCGAGCGCGGCAAAACCAGCGGCCGCGCCGACGACAATGCCGAGAGCATTCGCAAGCGCTTCCGTACTTTTATCGAGACCAGCATGCCTGTTGTGGATTACTACGAGAAGCAGGCCAAGGTGGTCAAGATTGATGCTACCCCTACGCCGGATCAGGTCTTTGCCAACACAAAGGCACGTCTGACTGAGAAGTTTGGCAAGGAGTTTTAGTTGCGTCGCAGTTTACCACGAATTCGTTCCTCTTGCGCCAATATCCAGTTTATCCTTCTTCTGAGGAATGGTAGATGTATTGCTGCGCTGTTATTGTTCATAACTATTGCATTATTCTTTTTCTCAGAGCGGTCCCTCGATGCTCTTCCTGTACCTTTATTTGTTTTTTTCAGTGTCAACTTTGGGATAGAGAGAAAACACCATGATAGATTTTACAATTGCACCGGCTGGACTCGGCACAGGGGTAGGGTCGTCAAGCCTCGGGAGTCAGCTCCAGACTTTTACCTTTTTTCTTTTCCCTTGTGTTCATTTAGACAGGAATGTAAGATGAAGCTTGTTGCGCCACCGGCCCTGGCTACGCTGTAACGTATAATACCATGGCGAGAAGAAGACGGTCCGTTGGCATATTTTCACTTTATTGGGTTTCACTCACACTTTATCGTCGTACAACAGCGTCAAACAGTGTAAATAGGACGCCAAATCACGGCATACACGACAAAGACCGGGGAGGGGGGGATGAGGAGGTATTTTTCAAATTTTTTGTAGTCTTCATTGATCCTATTTTGAATAGAAACATCTGATGCTAAACCGGCAGCGCCATTCGCATAAAAATAAATGTTTCCCCCGTTGCACATGTCTTTTGTTGTCGTCAAGGCCTTCTTGCTTTCCCAAACGACGGTATTAACACAGTTATTTCATCGGTATACAGAATACCGCCACCAGCCCTCAGGCGCCTCTCTTTTTCGTTTTTGGTCCCTCTCGTGAGATGCATGTACGGGTCCACCGCTGCGTCTTTGTGTGGTTTTCGCGCTCAAGAGACCCGGTCCCTTTTCCCTTCTTTTGTAACCGTCGCTTTTCGCTAGACGTTGTTTAAATCTTCCGGGTTTTCATGTTGATATTTTTTTGTTTGAATGGTAAAACAAACAAACAAAAAAAAAGGGCGGGGAATCGTTTAGTCGTCATTGTCGGTCCTCTCACGTTGCTGTGACTGTGGGTTCTGTTGCCGCCGGTTGCCGCCGCCCTGGCCGCCGCTCACACCGGCATTGTTGAGCTTACGCTCCAGCTCCTGAATCTCGCGCTCCTTCTGGGCCTTGGCATTGGTCTGCTCCTGGCGCAGGACGCCGAGAACGTTTTGGAGAGTGGCGCGCCAGTGGTCCACGCGGGTGGACAGCTCCTGGTACTGCTTCTCGCCGAAGACGCGGTAGGTGACCTTGTGCACGAGGAACTTGTTGCGCTGCTGGGAGAGCTTGCCTTCGACGAGGCCTGCGCGGATCACGTCGATGGCCCACATCTCGATGTGCTCCTGGGGGATCTGGAGGGCCTTGGCGATCTTGGCGTACTCGATTTCGCGGCTGGGCGTGGCAGCGGCGAGGCTGGCAAAGGTGAGGAGGCGCATCTTGCGGTGGAGCTTCTCGTGGTCGAGCTTCTGCTGCTCGACCCAGCCTTCGTGCTCCTCGGTGAAGTCGTTGTAGTCCTCGAGGTCCTGCTCGGCAAAGATGTCGAGAAGCTGCGAGTATATGGGGTGAGAGTCGCTGAGGGCCTGGATGCTGGGGATCGCACGGAGGTCTTGGAAGAGGAAGTGGGTGTTGGATAGGATGGCCATCTTGATGGCGCGCAGGGACAATCTCTGCGCATCCTCTGACGTGATCTCGTCCTTCTCGTCGGCGTCAAAGGTCCGAAGGGCCTTGAGGATAAAATCGTAGCTGATGGACTCCTCGCCGGCCTCCAGGGCCGCCTCGGCAACGTTCTCGTAAACCATGCGCTCAATCTCCTCGCTGGCCTCCCATGACTCGAGCCACTCGCCTAGCTTATCCAGGTACAAGCGCATGCTGTCAAACATGTTGTGTGCCCTCGAGAACTTGACAATCTCGAGGAAGATGCGGGCGCGGATGACGTCCTCCGGCGGGAGCAGGTTGAAAACTGTCGCCAGGGCGTTCAGGGACAGGCCGGGGCCGTGGACGGACGAATTGACGGGGACCTTGGCGAGGTTGGCGCAAAGAGTCTGCAGGTACTTCTTAGGGTCGGCGGACTGCAAAACGAGGTGGATCACGAGGTTTGAGGCAGCGGTATATTCCTTCTCGGGGACCGTGCTGAGACCGGCCGAAGCAGCAACCAATTTGGCCAACACATCTTCCTTGGACACCTTTTCTTTGCTTAGCAGCTGAGCGGCTTCCTCTGCCTTGAGGTACTCGGCCATCTCCTTAGCAAGCTCCTCAAAGGTTCCATCGACGAAGAGCAGCTGGGGCTGCTCATTATTTTTGGAGGCGGGCATCGTGAAATTTTTCGGTTTCGCCTCT